CTCCCCACTGGAGCTGTAGTCCAGGAATGGGCTTGTGTCCAAAGCTGCTTGAAAGCGTGGTGGCTGCGTCTAGCCGTCGTGGAGGGAGCGACAACCGAGCACCCAGCACCCTTTCTCTAGGCGCGATCTGGCTGTCTACCGGGCGGGCCCCATGATACCTCAAAATGGCCTCAGGTCCTTTATACCCGAGGTTTCCGCGTGAAACTGCCCCTCTGCTCAGTCGTAAATCTACCCGACCGCTCTGTTACGTAGGCAACTACTTTTGCCCCGAAGGCACCACTTCTCGGATCAAAGGCGCTGGGGAAGTCCATGCACCTCAGGAGATCGGAGTTTTCCTCATCCGGGCGTGAGCTTTTCAGGAAGCCTCTTGGTTTCTTTGTAACTTTAAAATGGGAGCCTGTAGGCGGGCTACACTAGTGTAGCGCGAATGGGAGTTCAAGCCAGTTTTGACTCTATTGGGAATTCACTTTGTGAACTTTTCTTGCATATGACTGAAAGGTTCCAGGGTCGAACAAAATTTACCAGATCTGTGGTGATGGAGCACGGTGGGGAATGAAGTGAGGTAAAAGTACAGCTGGTTCCAAACTGAGAAGCCTTGGGTTGCTGGAGGGCCCTGATTGTTAACTGAGCAAATAGGTAATAGTTCTGGTGACCACCAACCACACTGCACACTTGGGGTACACAGTAGCTCCATGTAGGGCCTTGCTCTGCAGTATAAAGTGCGTTAGGTTGAATCAACAGGTATCTTTAATGGGTTACAGTAATGAGGACATTTTGTTTTGAAAGTAATTTTTTTTAATGCATACTATAAGGCTGGAGAGATGACTCAGCAGTTAACAGTACTGGCTGCCCCTGCAGAGGACCCCAATTTCCAGCACCCACATGGTGGCCGACAACTGTTAACTCCAGTTCCAGGGGATCCTACACCCTCTTCTGGCCTCCGCAGGCATTGCAGGCAAGGTGCACTTAACACACATAGGCAAAACACTCATACACATAAAATAAGAATGGGCTTAGAAGATGCATAATGTATGGGTATTTCAGATCTTGCTATTTGTTATTCTCTTGGGCTTTTTTGTTGGTTTGAGACTGGGTCTCCCGTAGCCCCAGATGGTATTGATCTCAATGAGATATGCCTGTCTGCATCCATGCCCAGACAGGGCTTATTTCGAAACAGGCATCTTCCTGCCCCAATCTCCTGTAATTAACAGGCCTGTACTACCATGACTAGCTCCAGGCACATTTTTAAGTACAATGCAACTATATCTTTGAGGCCGAATAAAACCTTGTTAAACTTTCCTTAGGGTTTGGGTGGTTTTTTTTTTCTTTTATGTGTATGAGTGTATATAAGTGAATCACAGCTGCGCCTGGTGCCTGCTGAGGCCAGAATAGGGCATTGGATCCTCTGGAACTGGACTTAATGACAGGTGTTAGTCACTGTGTGGGTGCTGGGAATTGAACTGGGGTCCTCTGGAAGAGCAGTAACCAGGAGAGCAGCTCTTAACCACTGAGCCATCTCTTCAGTTCCCTGTTAAACTTTTAAAAACGAGTATTTGGGGTTGGAGAGCTGGCCCAACAGCTAATAGCACTTGGCTGCTCTTCCAGAGGACTCCAGTTTAGTTGCCAATACCACCTTCTGGCTTCTGGGCCCCCTTACCCACATAAACGTAACCCTTTTTTTTTTTATTTTTATTTTATGTGTATGAGTGTATTGCCTGCATGTATGTGAGTGCACCTGTGTCATGCAGTGCCGCGGAGATCAGAAGAGGGCTTCAGATTCCCCTGGAACTGGAGTTAAGGACAGTTTGTAGCCACCATGTGGGTGCTGGGAATCAAACCCTGGGTCCTCTGCAAGAGCAGTCAGTGCTCTTAACCGCTGAGCCATCTCTCCAGCCCCAACACATTTTTTTTGAGATATTTGAAATGTTGCTGTAGACCCTGCTTTAGAATTGAATTACATATTGTGATTTGATCATAATAACTAATAATTTGCTGAAAATAGACCTGTTAGGTTCTGTGCTAAGTATGTCATGAGTTAATTCATTTAATTTTCATAGCCATTCTATAAAGGTAGGTTTTGAAGCTGCTTGCCCGTGGAGATGTAGTAATTGAGGCACAGAGTTCTTAGGGAGGACACAGCTCTAGAAAGCAATAGAGCTAGATGTACAGCAGCACCCAAAACTACTAAGGGGAGGTGCATAGGGGACTGGAAACTAGAAAATAGACATTTTGGGCACTTACATAATTAATTTCTGAGAGTCATCTCTTAAGTTTCCTTCCAATTCTTAGGGACTGGTCAGTGAAGATGATGGTAAATTTTGGTTTGGTTTGGTTTCAAACCATAAAGCACAAAATACATTCATGAAGTAGAGCAAAGTTCCAAGTGTAAAGCTTGAATTGTTTTAGATTAAAATTTAATAAAGACATTGCCCACACTTCGTGTATGTTAATAAGAATTTATTATAGCTATAGCCAGATTCATAATCCCAGCAGCTGAGAAACTGGGGCGTGAGCATTGCTGCAAGTTCAGTGCCGGCTTAGGCTAAAGAGTGAGCGAGTCCATCTCCCAGGACTCACTGAACTGGACTGGAAAGTTGGTCTTCAACTTTTTAGTCTTTGTAGTTACCTAGAAAATAAAATTTTTATGGCTCTCAGATATAATTGCTAAGCTATTCAGTGTTGGTGTTTTTACTGAAAGAAAGCTCTATTCTAATGTCCTTGTATCAGTTTTCAATTTTTTGTTTGCACTTGGAGGAACTAAGTATCAACTTCCATTTTCTTTTAGATAATTTTAGAATGGTACCGTGAATAAAATATAGATAAGTATCCTTTTCTATTTGGACATTCCTTGGAGTTCAAGAAGTGCTACTCTATAAACTCAGAATATTTATAAAAACTTAACTGTAAGCGAAAGTGGTTGCACACACTTTTGATCCCAGCTCTCGCAGGGCAGAGGCAGGTGGATCTCTTGAGTTTGAGGCCAGCCTGGTCTACATACCAAGTTCCAGGCCAGCTGGGGGCCACAGGGAGACCCTGCCTCAAAAAGACAAAAAGCCTGACCATAAAAGGTAGTCACAGTCTAGACCATTTTCCTTTAATTAGTGGTACCATTTCTGGTGTTTATTTGATGACTTCCTTTTTTTTCTTTTTTTGGTCTCTTTGAGACAGGGTCTCCCTGTAGCCCCAGCTGTCCTGGAACTCACAAAGATCTACCTGCCTCTGCCTCCTGGTGATGACTTCCTTTTTATCATCAGTGTATGCCAATCCCAGGCAATTCGTTTAAATTTATAAATGTTAAATGTTTTGGGTCCAAATGGTAGAAAAGCCCTGTTTTCAGGCGTAGTTGGGGAAGCTTTCAGGAAAGAAGATTGAGTTAGATACTCACAAGTGAAAATGGACTTTGAATTGAGGAAATGATGATAGAAATGTTAGATCACCAAACTTTGGACTAAGGAGAGTCAAATAGTGTACTTTTTCATAGGCTTTGTGTGGTGGGGGTTTCCTTTATAGCTGAAGAGAGAAATCTAGTTGATACATAGGATCTGATACATATCAGGCTTACAGGTGTCTTTGTAATGTAAGGCTCCAGCTCTTAACCTCCCCCAACTTTCTGGGTATAAGCTGAAATAACTGAGTTCATTCCACATCAGTATCTTAGAAATTTCAGTCACCAAAAGTTTGAATTTTTAACATAGGTGATTTCAGACACAATTTAAAAGTCGAGTGATATAAAGGACTCTCATTTCAGAGTCTATCACATTTTGGTTAATGATTATAAAATGCAATTGGCCCTTGTCAGTAAAGAGTTTCATTTCTTCTTTCATAGAAAAGTGCAGTGGGTTTCCATTGCATGTTGGTTAAATGCAGGGAAATATGTGCCCCACTCTAAAGTCTTAAAATAAAGGGGCTTTATAGGAAATCTAAACTATAGAGCTCCTCAGAGTCCTTCGTGTTGCCAGGCATGGTGGCACTCTCTTTTAATCACAGCACTGGGGAGACAGAGGCAGGTGGACCTCTCTGAGTTGAGGTCAACTGGGGCTATAGTAGGGAGAACCTGTCTCAAAAACAGCAAACACCCAGCATTTTCCATTAGAAATATACTACAAGCATATCCAATATTATATTGATATGTGTTGGATATAATTTCTTTGAGATCCTTTACATTATTCTACATTTCCTGAACCCAGTGCATATTTTACTTCTGTAAAAGATGTTAGTTTGGACTAACCACATGTGACCGATGCCTCTCTTATTGAGCAACATAGTATTAAGAGTTTTAAAGTTTTCACAGTGTATGCCCACCTGCACTTTTAGATGGGGAGGTGGGTGACATTGAGGTTTTACTCAAAAATTATGGCCTAGTTTCTCTTCTAGAGATTCCCTGTTAATTACTCTCTTGAATTTTATAGAAAGCTTAATAATGATTTGTTATCTCCTCAAAGTATTAATAGTTATTGTAATAAATTGTAATTTTATCTTACCAGTGACTCTTGTTAACAGGCTACAAAAGAAAAACATCTGTGTTCTAGAAATTAAGTAAGGTGGAACTGGAGAGATGGTTCAGCGGTTAAGAGCACTGATGGCTCTTGCAGAGGACTCAGGCTCTATTCCCAGCACCCAGATGGCAGCTAACAACTGTCCTAACTCCAGTTCCAGAGAATCCGGTGCCGTCTTCTGACCTCATGGGCATTGCACAGCCATGGGTGCACTTGCACACATGTAGGCAATACACTCATGCACAAAAACAAGAAAT